CCGTCCGACCGAGCCGCCCTCATGGCTTTCAAATCCTCCCTCCACGAGCCCCACCTCGGCATCTTCAAGTCATGGACCGGACCGGACTGCTGCCACAATTGGTACGGTATAAGCTGCGACCCGGAAACCAACCGGGTCGCGGACATCAACCTTCGGGGCGAGTCGGAGGACCCGATTTTTCAGAAAGCAGGTCGGACCGGTTACATGACCGGGACCATCTCCCCGGCCATCTGCGGGCTGAAAAGGCTCTCCAGCCTGACCATCGCAGACTGGAAGGGGATCTCGGGCGAGATCCCCAGATGCGTCGCATCGCTCCCGTTCCTACGCATCCTCGACCTCATCGGGAACCGGCTCACGGGCCAGCTCCCCTCCGACATCGGCCGGCTCCACCGCCTCACCGTGCTCAACGTGGCCGACAACCGGATCACCGGCCGGATCCCCCGGTCGCTCACGAACCTGACCGGGTTGATGCACCTCGACCTCCGGAACAACCGGTTCTACGGGTCGATCCCGTCCGATTTCGGCCGGCTCAGGATGCTGAGCCGGGCCCTCCTGAGCCGGAATTTCCTAGCCGGTTCGATCCCTGACTCGGTTTCCCGGATCTACCGACTGGCCGATCTCGACCTTTCCCTCAACCGTCTCTCCGGCGGGATCCCACAGTCTCTGGGGCGGATGGCCGTCCTCGCGACGTTGAATTTGGATGGGAACCGGATCACCGGCGGGATCCCCGCCGATCTGCTCAGCTCGTCGGTTACGAATCTGAACCTGAGCCGGAACGCGCTGGACGGGAAGCTGCCGGAGTTTGGCCCCCGGTCGTATTTTACGGTGCTGGATCTGTCGCGGAACCGGCTGACCGGCGGGATCCCGGCGTCCATCGCGGCGGCGTCGTACATCGGCCATTTGGATCTGAGCTACAACCATTTGTGCGGGAAGATTCCAGCCGGATCGCCGTTTGACCACCTCGAAGCGGCGTCGTTTGAGTTCAATGACTGTCTCTGCGGCAGCCCGCTGAAACGACGGTGTTTGGGTAAACAGTGAGATAAAAGTAAAAAAATGTTAAAATCGTGTTTTATTATTAAGTTTTTGTAATGTATTTATTATGTATATGAAATGTTGTTACTATATATATATGTTATGTGTAGTAAACTTTCAAGAGGAGAGAAGGTTATTAATTAATCGAATGTACTGCTGAGTATGATTAGCATAATGATATAGGTTAATTAATGGTTTAATTTAGCTCGTTAAACGCAACTCTGAAGTCAATAAGTTACTACTGTTTTATTGAGAGTGTACTATTTGGGTTCTTTTGTCATGGGAACATTCTCCATACATATAGTGCAATATTATTCCTTGGTAAAATCTTTTTATCAACGTGTTTACTTCAGCAACGAAACTTAATCAATCATGTTATACATTTATGCATTCAGTGGGATAGTCAGCAAACAATAAGTGAATACATTATTAGCATGCAACTTTATTATTTTAGTGTCACATTTCAAGCAACTTTTGTTGTCACTAGTTTTTATATAATTAATTATGTATATGATCCACCAGTGGAACTCAGTTTGGGAGTCATCATCGGCTGTGTTAGGCACGAACGATAGAATACTGATGACATCTAACACCTTATTAACCGGACTATCACAGAGAGTGCAGAGAATCGAATGAGGGAGTCGAAGGAGATCGATCATATACGACCACCCTAATCATCACCATTGTACTATATGCTTTTGGTTCTTTGGTCATAGAACATTCTGCAGCATACGATGCAATATATTTTCGAAACAATCTCCTCTCTTGATATATTATCCGAGTATCGAGATATCGTATATAACTTAATCCATCGAGTCACACAATTATATATGTGTTGTGGGATAGTATGTAACTTAATTGGTAAACAAAAATAACTATTAGTGAAACACTAGGGGTTAGATTGAAAACTTACCAAATTTGATTTTGGCCTCCTCCTCCTGCCTTCTTCAACGTGAATATTGTAGAAATAGGGGAAGAAGAGTGAAGAGACATGAAAACATGGGGAAGGTTAGAAACAGACGAGACACTTCACGTGAAGCCATTAAAGGGTGGAGGGGCAGATGTCAGGATGGGGTTTTCAATATCTCCCCAATTTTAGTATATTTTTAAAAGTTTTGGGAGTGAAAAGGAAGGAAGGAATAATATCGGTGGCTTCCCATTTGCCAGGTTTTGAGGTGGTCCGGCGGTCCTTTGCCACTGTCTCTGCCGACTGCCTGCACAGAAACTGAATGCATGTGGTTGGAATAAATTCCAAGCTTTGATACCAATCCAATCCAGTCCTCCAAATTTCGGATTCATTCCCTATTTCCCTTTTTTTTCCCCCTGGAAGTTTTGGTTTCTTAGACCCATCTGCCAGCCGACTTGATGATAGCTTGGCCGGAGAAGTTAGAGTGTTGTTTACCCATAAAAATTAACTTTGTGCTACATCGGTTACAAATAAAGAGTTAAAAGATTTTATAAGGTCAACTTAATTATAAATGTTTAAATCAATTAAGTGGGCAACGTGGATTGGATTTTTGGGTCCATGACACCTATGCTAAAGCCACTTTGCGCGCCACCCTTGCCATCAATTTCAAAATTTTATTAAATGTTGGGACCCCCAGGACGTGGTAAAGGGGGTGGCCACCATCATACCACCCCTAGGACGTGGCAGGGGGTGTGTGTTGGGCATCATCCTGCCACCACCAGAACATGGCAAGGGGGGGTGGGCATCATACCCACGGTCATGTCTCCACCCTCAAGAGGTACCAAGGGGGGTGAGTACCATATCACCACCCCCATGACCCTGATGAGACGAGAATAAGAAAAATGTGGTTAAGTATGGAAGATGATGAGGGTGGCAAGGAGCCCCCCCCCCCCCCGGGAGGTGTTATGGGACCACCAACATACCACCCCCATGGTATGATCAGGGGGTGGGGGGTCACCAACGCCGGCTCCCATGAAAATGATATAGTGGTGGGGTGATCCATTTGACCCCCCACGTGGTCTCTGTACTCTACTAATGGTGAAGTATTTTTTGTCATTTTTAATTCATGTGATTCAAATACTCACCCATATGTGGTACGTGATATTCCTTCATGCCTTAGGATGTGAACCTCCTAAGCTGATGGGCGCTTCAGACTGAAGTCTGCTTACTACCTGGCAGCCGCTAGTGATGAAGGAGAAGATACTGACACAAGCTGGAAAGGAATCTGGAAGTGGAAGGGACCCAACAGGGTTAAGCACTTCTTATGGCTCGTTTTTCATGACCGTCTGATGACCAACCATGAACGCAAAAGAAGGAAGATCACCAATTCTGACAAGTGCAACCATTGCAACGAGGAAGGAGAGACAATTGAACATATCCTTCGCAACTGCAGCAAAGCAAGAGAGATTTGGTGCAAGCTTAGACATAGAATGGTGGAAAGAAACCTCCAGCTTCCACTAGAAGAATGGCTCATGAGGAACATGCTGGACGACGACAAGGGCATTGATTTCGGGTTTATATATTGGCACCTTTGGAAACAGAGGAATGAAGAAGTCTTAGATGGGAAGAATTACTCGGAGCAGGGCCTTCTCTGTAGGATTAGAGCTTGGTTTAACATCGTCAGAACGCGCATACATTCTGGGAGAACATAACGAATGAACTCAGGAGGGTGCTGCAGACGAAGGAGATTGCTTGGAAGCCACCACACCCTGAATGGATACAAATCTAGAGCGACGGATCGGTTCATCAAGACTCAGGAAAGGCGGCTGCAGGTGGCCTCTTCCGTGACCATCTCGGTAGGTGTCCTCGAGCTTTTGTCTGCAATTTGGGAAGCTACTCGATTACGCATGCGGAGTTGAAAGGTGCAATGGAGGGGCTGAAGATTGCGTGGGTAGAAGGGTACAAAAAAATTGAGCTTCACCGGGATTCGGAGACGGCTATTTTGATCATTAACAACCACTCGGAGGATGATCACAAATATGGGCAAACGGCAGCCATATTTAGGAACCTTTTGAACCTGGATTGGGAGATCAGAATCTCTCATGTGTATAGAGAGTCTAACTGTGCCGCTGACTATCTTGCTAATGTTGGGCACGACTCCCCTTTTGGTACACATTCTTTCGATGTGTGTGACTCGGGGCTTAGGTATTGGCTTTACTACGATGTAATGGGCATTGCCCAAGAACGTTCTTTGAATACTATGCACTAGACGCAATGCGTCAACTTTTCGACCAAAAAAAAAAAGAAAAGAGAGAAAGAAGACGATAAAGATGAGAGGAGAAGAGAAGAAAGGGTTTTGTTTGTAGGTAATCTTTTTATTGTTGTTCGTTGATGCAGAGATGAGGAAATCGGAGAGAACGAGATAACAGCGGCGGCGATTTCGAAGATGGGAAGGAGAACCGGCGGTGGTGAGGATGAAATTATTGTTTTTGTATATTTTTTTATTTAATTTAATTGAATTTAAAGGATAAAATTTAAGTGACTTTCCACCTGTTATTTCTGAATAAAATATGTCACGTCAATCGTTACTGTTAGTCTAGACACCCTATTAGATAACACCGAACGTGAAAGTTTTGGCTATAAAGTGTATTTTGCATAGTAATTAAACTGAAAAAGTAAGCTATGTTTGTGTGTGTGATTCAAACCCTATAACTTGGGTTTGAGAGCTAGCTTTTTTAACATACACGCCAATGAGGAATATTTGTTATAATGGGGTAGGCGACCTGATTTTATTATAGCGCTTATAATTACTAGTTCAGAAACCATTCACTCATGGAAAACTCGCCGATCTCTTGCTGTTGTTTCATTGAATCTAATTGAATTTGTGTAATGTTTGTTGGTCCAACAATGATCAGTGAGGAAACAGAGAACAAGGCTCGGCCCGGATTCGAAGAAGAGGCAAAAACAGAACTGATACATTCGGCTGAACGAGGGTGTTTCTTCTTACCTATACTACAGGTGGGATTTGGGGAGGGGAAGCAAAATGGGATTATTGGTTCGTGAGAAAGACGATAGCTTGTTGGTTCCCTCTGTTCTCTTAGCAAGCAAACCGGGAACTGAAAGAGTGAAAAGAGAAACCAAGGATTGGAAAGAAAGCTTGTACAAGGAATGACCAACAACAGACAAATTTCTGCGACTCTGCAAGTGTCCCCAATTCATACATTCGGAGCATTCTGTTAAGTCATTCACGCATGTGTCATCTTAGACTTAAATTACTGGATATACAGGAGAAGGAAAAAACTTGAAATCAGTCTACACAAACCAAGAAAAGAGAAGTTCTAACAATCATGAGTAGCCATTCGTGGTGATTCTTTGGCCAATAAGTTAACATTGCTAACCCAGGGACCGGGTTGTCATTAGCAAGTCCGGGTTCCCTCTTCATAGCTATGAGCATAGATGATTTTGAGTTGGCAAGCTTCTTGTGTTGACAATGTCATGTGGATCGAGCGCATTGACCTGTTAATTAGTATATATGAAGCACTAAGTGATGAATTGTATGTGCAAAACAACAAACAAAAGGAATTAGAGTAATCAAATGAAAGGAATTCATGTGATTTACCGGCTACTGTTTTAGGGAGTTCAAGATTGGCTGAACCAAACAACTATAGCAGCCATCACACATAGTTCGCAGCTTCTCGTAGCCCGGAATTGGGGAAGGCCAGCAAGTGAACCTCGGCTGGAACAACCCACCCCAATTCCCTCTATCGGTGAAGACCTCCATCTCTCCCGTCCTCATGTTGCACTCGACCACAATAGGCGCGACATCAGAAGGACGACGACACTCCAAGAAGATGGTTTCGGGCTTACTCGGATGAATGCCAACTACATCATGCGCCTTCAAACCCTTAAATTGTACATACTCACGGTTAATGATGTAATCCGCCACAAAGCCATTGTAAAGAAAACACCATCTTCTATTGTCTTCCTCCCATCTCCACATAGACAAACAATGCTGTTCCTGAAGGTGAAAAACTATGTGTAAAACACCAAGTGAGACCCAAATCGTGCGCTTCGCTAAGGCACTGAACAACCAGGAATAACTCCCGCTGTTCGGCGATTCAATGATGGAAGTCGGAAGCGTGTGTGGGCAGAATGGATTCCACACACAAAATCCAAGCATGTCATCGGACAGCCAACACAAGGTCCCATTCCACAAGGGAATCACATCCCCCAGCATCATCTGTGTGGAAGAACCAGAATCAGGAGGAGCCATGGCGTCTTCCATCCATTCCCCTGACTCCGAACAAAACAAGTCTACTATTGCACGGTCAGGTGATCCAGAAACAAGGACGACTCGGAATCGACAATCATCCTCATCTCCAGAATCCAAATTCTCAGAGACTAAACATTTGTTCTGATACCCGACTGACCTTTTGGGCGCCAGAGGAAGGGCGACCCATTGCTTTGTAAACGGATTGCAGACGAAGAACAATCTCCCCATCTCGCCATCAAGATCATTCCCAACAGCAGAGTCATCGAAGCCGCATAAAACCAAATCCTTGAAGCAACCCAAAAGTACGAAATTGGATCGGACCTCATCAGGCACGGGGAGAAAGCTCAAGATGGATTCAGTGTCGCGTGAGGTTAAAGGAAGTAGTTCCCCGCCGCCGCCGTCGATCCTGCTCTGTTGACGGTGAGAAACGAAACTGCGGCCGAAGTGAGGACTGGAGATGAGTGAGCACCACCGCTTGCAGACGGATTTGCACTGGAAGGCGGATCTAGCGTTCGGGAGGCGAATCAGAATCGCCAGGAGGAGATCGTCTCCGAGTTTGCTGATTGGGCCACGACGGTTTGCCTTTGAACGGAGCGGTGGTTTTCTGGTGGCGGGAGTGAGAAGATGGCCGTAGACAGCGGTGGATATGTAGCCGTCGGTGGCGGCGGGGGACGACCAGGAGGGAGGGAGAACGACGGATAGCCCAAGGTGGAAGAGCCAGAAAACCCTATTTCCCGCTGGAGCCATAGTCTCTGTCTCCTCCTAAAGAATCGAAACGTTTCTGTGAGTTCTGTCAATTCTATTATCAATTTATCATAATATTCGTAATACTCCTATTCCTTGTCGAACTCGAACTCTTCGCTAGTGTCTTCCTTCTTTTCAATTACTTTCCACCAAGGTTGTCAAACCGGTTTATGCGAGTGTGCCGGTTTAGCAAGTGAAATTGTTCTACCGGTGGTATATACCGGTTTGTGCCGGTTCATACCGGTTAATATTACAAATAATTTACAAATACTCATATTTAAACATGATATTTAACGTAAAACCTAAATATTTGTACTTGAATCCAACAAATAACATCAACATTTAACTTTTTAACACATAAAACAAATAATAAACTACTTTTTATCAATTAAATTCACCAAGATAAGATAATTTTACTTGGAGATTCGTATATCGATCGTGCCGGTCATACCGGTGGTGTCATGCCGATTTTATGACCGGCACAGGTTGAATCAGTGGCACGCCGGCCGGCGTGACAACCATGCTTTCCACAATACCTAAGATAGTCTAACGATAAGCTGTCGCGATAATGAAGGTTTGGGAGTTGCAGATCCCAGGTTCGAATCCTAGTGAGACTTGTTGGTATTTTCGAAGGTATAAGGATGTTGGGACTTGGGAGTGAAGCCCCATTGACGTCAAATTGAATACAGGTGACCCCAAGTTTAATAGGACCCGCTGTTACAAAGTGGCACGTGGGGCTGAGATTCCTTAGTAATAAAAAAAATTATTAGCCAAATAGACATTACTCTAATTTTTTTATAATCTTCGTAATAAGTTGATAATAAATGTGAGGTGATACTAAAAATATTCTACATGTTCGGTGAATGTGTTCAACATATTTTGAAAAATTAGTCTTGGTTTTTGTTCACTTGGATTGTAATGAAGGGATTCATCGTCAACTTCAGCTTAATGAAATTTCTATTACTCTTTTCTTTTGTCTTGTGTGCGCCGTGCACCCCTTTTTTGTTATTAGGGATTTCAATTGACTATTGGCTACTTAAGAGAAAATTGAAGGCCGTTCTCCCACGCCTCAAGCTTTATCTCTAGTCCATAACTTCCTTACTTCTTCACTAGCTTATAATCTGGCTCGTTGGCCGGAATGTTCATATTTTAATATTTATATTTTTATGCTATGTTTAGGTCTATTAATTTGTTTAACTTTATTGAAAATTATTCAATCGAGATTCTATATAAAGAATGAATATATAGGTCGAACATTCAGAAAAATACCCTCCTCATATAAAAATGTATAAGTAATCCCATTTTCATAATGATAATTGAGCCTCCATTAAAATGATATTGGTTAATAGATTGTCCATAAATATATAATATAAAAGCTCATTGGAGGGGTGCTGCACCAGGGTTTGTTTGTTTAGTGGATGGAGCGGTCGCGAAAGGATCACATTTGGTCGGGGGTTTGGTCGTCCGGGATGGGCAGGGGGAGTATCGTTTTTGTGAAGGGATTTCTCTATGCAGGTGTGGACGATCCTTACAGTGTAGAACTCTTGGCGTTGCGAGATGCGATTCGATGGTGCTCTTTGAAGGGTCTCACCGAGGTAGTATTTCGCGGAGATACTAAGGTTGCTCTCGATAAGGTACGTGAGAGAGAAGTTCGGGATGTTAAAGGTGGTAGCATTCTTGAAGAAATTTAGTTGTTACGTTAGCAGTATGCTCGGTTTGAGGTGGAATTCGTTGGTAGGAAAAACAATTGGGCGGCCCATTTGGTGGCTATGAAAGCCCTTTCTTTGTTTCATGCGGGAGTCTCGGATTTTGATTTTCGTGGTTGGTTTCTCTCGAGTTTATAAACTCGTGTTGTTTGAACATTGTTATCTTATTCTTTCTTGGTAATACAAGTTAGCTTCCGGAAGAAGAAAAAAATATGCAGTGAAGTGGAGCGTTAACCGTTTAAATTGACGGTAAAATCACACGTCCGACCAAGCTAGTCTATATGATATATAGTTGATGGCTAGCAATTTTTAAAACTACGGGGCAAAGTAGTAATGGGGATGTAGCCATTGATGAGCAGCACCGCTACAAGGTAGTAGTTAATAATGTCAAAGATGATTTTCATAATTACTATTTTTATATAACTTTAATCAGACTATCTGATTACGACCGGAAGTAACGAGAGTTTATGTGACTTATTGGTTTATAATTGTGTTTATGTGACTTTAATCGTTGAGTTTTTTTGTTCTGGGCCTAGTCTGCAAAAAGAAAAAGCGCCGAACCCATCAGCCCAATATGGTGTTTATAGTGACCAGAGGCCAATCAAACCTTTGGTGCACCAGGCCCACATAAACCCTTCTTAGTTCTTACTAACGAATTATCAAAAGAAAAAAAAAAAAAACTAATTCAACTACGCGGATCGCTGTTCCACGCCGTTGGATCATCCTTCCAATCAACGGTGGGACTGGCGGGATTACAGACGAATAAGTTTCGTCTTCCCCTTCCCCTCGCCCCTTCCCCATTTCGCCGCCGCGGAAAAATGGGCAGTCTTCGTCCCATTTTCTTCTTCTTCCGCGCCATTCCGCGCCATTATCAATGGCGGAAAGTCGTTTTAACCCTAGAATGCCCAGCGGAAACACTTGTGGACTACTGGCACTGATCTATGATCCCTCATTTCAGATTAACGAAGAAGAAGAGGAAGCTGATCCTACAGATTCCTCCATTGACGAAGAGGAAGCTGATCCTACAGATACCTCTCTTCAGATTGTCAGAGAAAGAAAAGTTATTCCAGAAATTCCCAACCCTCCTGCTCCCGAGATTGAACTTGGTAAGTAGAACTCGATTTACTCTGATTTCTCTGATTCTTCCCAGTCCAAAGAAGAGGTTTCTTTTTCTTTCTTCCTTCTTCTCATCCAGTCGACCACCACCAAAACCCTAAGTTTCTTTTTCATTCTTTCTCCTTCCCATACAGCGGATTACCAAAAAACGGATTGACGGACACGGCCGCGTTGGAATGCGTTCAAGGAGAGGTGGACGGGGCCGTTAAAAGGAAAGCTGGACCCCATGTACAAGCATGACTTGCACTTGAAGATGATTGCTTCCTACGACTACCACAGGGGCACAGTTCTTCCTCATGACGAAGGCTTCACCCCATGTAGAACTGAAGTACTCGCTAACTAAAAGCTGTTTGCTCCCTCCCTTAGATTGTCAATGCCCACTCCAATAATTTGCTTCCAATCCAGAGACTCAGGTAGGTTTTCTCTTCTTTACCCAATTTCATGTTTTTCTTTCACTTCCACATACTGATTACTGAGACGTTTGTTTTGAAGGGATGCCACTTCTGGCTTGGAATTTGATCCCACGGGAGAATTCTTGGCTTCAGTTAACCGAGTGGGTTGCCTGACGATCCAAAGGTTTCAAACCCTTCGATATTACAGTGATCACATCGTGCGAAAGACAGGAGGTTTGCTGATTTCCTCCAAATCAATAGAATTGGTGGTGGTGCAGGTGGCTGATTTTGGAGCTCTCAAAGTCCAAAATGCCAGACCAACCCAGCTGAAGATGGACTGCAATGTGGCAACTTCGGTTGGGGTTTATCAGGATCGAATGACATCCTAGAGGTGGTCTGTTATCAGGTTAATTTGTGCATTCTCGGGTTGTATTTGGTGTCCTGTTTGTTAATTTCATAATTAGTGGGTTGTCTCCTCTAGGTTGCCTGCACTTCGATGTTTCCAGGGGAAGTCCTCATATATGACCTTGCTAGTTTCTCTTCTGATCCACTTACGGTAAATAACTCTAATTAGTGATAAAGCTTTTACTGGATCCGATTATTGGGCTCTTTCTCCATTTACATTAAGCTGAGACTGGGGTCTTTTTGTTTGTTTTGTATAGGTCTTGAGACTGAACAGGGGCACAAGGATTACTGATGTAGCTTTCAATGGATCCGATGATTCCAGGTTGGTTTAATACACTCAAATACCAGCCTTATAGATTCATTCTTATTGCTTTATTTATAACGTTATTCAATATACTACTGTAGATTGTACGGTTCGGGTTTGAATGGCATAGTAAACGTTTGGGATCCAAGAACGAGTTACTTACCGTGTTTGGAGCTCGTAACACACGAGCTGGTTCATGACATCCTTTCGCTGAAAAGTATCCAGTTGCATCAGGATAGTCAGGTTTTGTAAAAACACATTTTTATGTGTAATTCCAACTTGAAGTCATGTTGATTTTGGACTTTTAATGAACTCTTTTTTCATTTAACTTTGCAGAAGGTCTTTGGGGGTGACCACTCTGGAAATGTGTTTATGTGGGACATCCGCAACCCATCCATACCTGCAGGAGTGTGGAGATTAAGAGATTTACTTGTTACTATTGGATACGTACAGGTATGATTGTTGGATTCTTGATCTCCCTCCTGTCTCTCTGCATCATATTAGAGAGAGGCCCAATATAATTGCTCCCATGTGATTTTCACCACCACCACTCTCTGCTTTTACCTAATAAATCAATTCATTGGTCACTGTGCTTTGAGCGTATCATTCCTAATCCCCTCCACCTCACTCTTTGACTTTTGTTTGCTCCTTTGAGTTATAATGCTATTATATTACTCTTTGCGAAGTTTGATAAGAGTTTTAGTAGCAGAAGCAGAGCAAAAGCCACAAAATTCCTCTGTTTTAGTAATGCAAGACTCTCTTTATCTATTGTCATTGAATTTTGTACCATTCTTATTTATGTTCTCTATGTTTAGGATGATGACAGACCACCTCTAGGATGTCATTCGATCCTGATAAACCCCATCCGAAGTTGCCACATTGCAGTCCATCTTCAGCTGGGTTGGTCTGGCATTTTGGACATTGAAAGCTCCAAAATCAGCCACCTGCACCACCACCAATTCTATTGATTATATGGAGGAAATCAGCAAACCTCCTGTCTTTGGCACGATGTGATCACTGTAATATCGAAGGGTTTGAAACCTTTGGACCGTCAGGCAACCCACTCGATTAACTGAAGCCAAGAATTCTCCCGTGGGATCAAATTCCAAGCCAGAAGTGACATCCTTGCAGAACAAACGTCTCAGTAATTAGTATGTGGAAGGGAAAGAAAAACATGAAATTGGGTAAACAAGAGAAAACCTACCTGAGTCTTTGGATTGGAAGCAAATTGTTGGAGTAGGCATTGACAATCTAAGGGAGGGAGCAAACAGCTTTTAATTACCTACAATGAAGTCAATACAAGAAAGAAAACAAGGAGCGGGTACCTGAGTTCTACATGGGGTGAAGGCTTTGGCATGAGGAAGAACTGTGCCCCTGTGGTAGTCGTAGGAAGCAATCATCTTCACGTGCAAGTCATGCTTGTACATGGGGTCCAGCTTTCCTTTTAATGGCCCCATCCACCTCTCCTTGAATGGATTCCAACGCGGCCGTGTCCCCCAATCCATTTTTTGATAATCCGCTGTATGGAAAGGAGAAAGAAGGAAAAAGAAACTTAGGGTTTTTTTGTGGTGGTCGACTGGATGAGAAGAAGGAAGAAAGAAAAAGAAACCTCTTCTTTATACTGGGAAGAATCAGAGAAATCAGAGTAAATCGAGTTCTACTTACCAAGTTCAATCTCGGGAGCAGGAGGGTTGGGAATTTTTGGAATAACCTCTTCTTCACTGACAATCTGAAGAGAGGTATCTGTAGGATCAGCTTCTCTTCGTCAATGGAGGAATCTGTAGGATCAACTTCCTCTTCTTCTTCGTTAATCTGAAATGAGGGATCATAGAACAGTGCCAGTAGTCCACGAGTGTTTCCGCTGGGCATTCTAGGGTTAAAACGATTTTCCGCCATTGATAACAGAAATGGTTTATTTCAGAGCGAGAATGACGCGGAAGAAGAAGAAAATGGGACGAAGATTGCCAATTTTTCTGCGGCGGCGAACAGACTAATGGGGAAGGGGGAAGGGGGAATGATTTCAGTCATATTGTTCATGTGATTGTCTTAGAAAGATTTCAGTCTTCAGTCGTATAACAATTAACGATAAAGCTTGTGTGTTTAATTGAAACCCATTGTGTTTTAAGTACTTATAAATCTTGCTCGGTACAACTTCATAAATTCATCCAAATACCATTTTAATTGGTTTATAAATAAACATTTTCGAATAAATTATGTAAATTCTGGGCCATATCAAACAAATACGGATGATTAATTTGCATGTATCTAATTTTAAACTAGCACGCTTAGCATACATCCAAAATCGAGAGTGTGTTATACATGCAGCCATGATCAATTAAATCATTTGCTTACTCAATTTAATATCCCTTTGTATAAATGTTTCAACTAGCCATGCATGCCCGCAACAGGAGTTGTGAGGAAACACGAGATAATAGCAACATGAGATTGGTGATGAAGTAGAAAAGACGTCAATGATCAAAATAGTTGTTGATATAATACGTGTAGATCAACAAGTCGACCATATCGAATGTCTAATCGACAACCTTTTTAGTACAATCATGTGGTTTGTTGTCTTTATTTATGAACATCATTATTTTCACCTTACCATAACATATAAACGATCAATCGTATCTTTTCATTTGTGATGATTGAGTATCGCGATAATTCATATGTCTGTCATAACATTAACAAAATGGTTACTGATAGCTAGTAAACCATGTAGTAACCATTTTAACCGGTAGTATTTGGATAGTTTGGTTTGGTTAATTTGAATAATTGGTTTGGTTTGGTTAAATTTTTTAGCTTGTTTGGTTTAAATGGTTTGGTGTGATTTCAAAAACTCCTAACCAATCAAATCAAATTAATCGGTTAAGTAATTAGCTATATATCTAATATATTATATATGCACACTTAATGCTCAAATGTAAGATGATTATATTAGTTAAATGTATTTATGTTAAAGGTTAACTATAATTTTGTGTTGATTGTTATGTGTTATTCATTATATAAATTGTGAATTGATGCACTAACCGAAAATTTTGTGTTGATTGTTATGTGTTAACTATAATTTAGTTACATGTATTTATGTTAATTGTTAAGAGTTCTATTTGGTTGTTGTATTAGTTTGGACGGTTTGTTTATGATATTGTATTCCATGTTCAATAGAATTTAGGATTATTTGGTTTGGTAATTACCATAGTAACCATTTGAACACTCCTAGCCCTAGGTGAATCCGCCCAAAGGGGCATTGATGTCAGGATGGAGAGAAGGTTCATAGTACATCAGAGATTTCAGAGGAAGAGGATCTAAGTCGTGGTGGAGATTTGTTGATGTGAATTGAATCGGACTATCAACCGCTACGACTTAAAGTCACGGGGGTCTCGCTGTAATGAGCTTGGTGGACACTTGTATACAAGGGTCACTTCACTTGTATTTTAGATGTAGTACTTGGATTGTCGCATAACAGATCCGATATAAGCTAAGGCAAAAGATTAAGACAGTTGGAATCAGTTAGACTTGTGGTAAAGGCAACAACTTTTTTTACAAATTCTCAGTACCCAGATGAGGAAAAACAGCCATGGGCAGTCCAGAAGAATACATTCACTCATTCCGTGCGGTCTTATTTTCTCATACAGATACCCAAAGCCAACAATTTGTCAATGATGTACATTCAATCCCCTTCCGATGCAATCTCAAGCATACAGAGAATCGCAGAAAAGGAACCAACAATATCAATGTTTAACAGCAAGAAAGAGCATTATTAATTACGGAAAACATCTAATGTGGTCATTTGTGGTGATTCTTTGGCCAATAAGTTAGCATTGCTACCAGGGTGTAGAAGTATGGAACTAGGTTTGTCCGTCTAGGGTTCACACCAGTGGAAACGATCGGTTGATTGGGAATTTAGTGAAAAGAATAGGAAGATTGGGATTGGGAGAAGGAAGCTTGAGGAAGAAGAAAGCGGTCGGTCTCCAAGAGAGGGAGGAGGCCGACGGCCAAGTTTAGAGAATGTTGTTATGTGATTTCTTAATTCATAAAACCCCACTAATCACAGAATATATAAGTCGGTAAATTCTCTGTAACTACCCAATAATAATGTCTATCTCCAAAATACCCAAAATATCCTAGAAAACCTGCAAAACATCCAAAACAAGACCAAACGACCATCAAATCCAAAACAACAACAAGGGCCAGAATTTATGTTTCTAACACATAGGACTGGATTGTCATTAGCAACTCCGGTCAGCTCATTGGCATGTTAATTTTGTATACATGAAGCACCAAGTGATGAGTTGTAGAGGCAAAAACAACAAATGAAAGAAATTCATGCCATTCACCAGTTATTGTTTAGGGAGTCCATCGTACGTACTTCTGCAGTTTCTTTGTAGCCTGGAATTGTGGAAGGCCAGCAAGTAAACCTCGGCTGGAACAACGTCCTCCAATTCCTTCTATCAGTGAAGACTTGTAGGTTTTCCGTCCTCATATTGCACTCAAGAATGGTATCAAAAGGGCAAAAACAGTCCAAGAAGACGATTTCGGGCCTACTCGGATGAACCCCAACCACATCACGCACCTTCAAATCCTTGAATTGTTCAAGGTTACGGTTTACTATGAATTTCGTCAGATACTCCCAATAAATTGACCTCCATCTTCTCTCGTCTTCCTCCCATCTCCAAATCACCAAAGCCTCCACATCTGGTCTGTGGAGAACCATGTGTAAAGCACCAAGTGAGACCCAAATCCTGCGCTTCGGCAAGGATCTGGACCACAAGAAATAACCCACGTTGTCCGGCGATTCGTCGATGGAAGTCGGAGGTGTGTGTGGGCAGAATGGATTCCACACACAAACAGCAAGCATGTCATCGTACGGCCAACACACGCGGCCGTTCCACAAGGGCATCATCTGTATGGAAGAACCAGAAGAATTAGGAGGAACCATGGCGGCGTCTTCCAGCCATTCCCCTGACTCCGAACAAAACAAGTCTACTATTGCACGGTCAGGCGATCTGGATACGAGGACGACGCGGAATCGACTGTAATCCGCGGGATTGACAAATACTCTGCCATCATCATCTCCAGAATCCAAGTTACCAGACATTGAGTTACCGGATTCACAGACTAGACATTTGTTATGATACCCGACCGACCTTTTCGGCGCCAGAGGAAGGGCGACCCATTGCTTTGTAAACGGATTGCAGACGAAGAACAATCTACCCATCTCGCCATCACAATCATTCCCAGCAGCAGCAGAGTCCACGAAGCCGCATAAAACGAATTCCTTGAAGCAACCCAAAAGTGCGAAATTGGATCGGATCTCATCAGGCACGGGGAGAAAGCTCAAGATGAATTCAGTGTCCTGTGAGGTTAAAGGAGGTAGTTCGCCGCCGTCTCCGTCGCTGCCGCCATCGATCCTGCTCTGTTGACGGTGAGAAACGAAACTGCGGCCGAAGTGGGGGCTGGAGATGAGGGAGCTCCACCGCTTGCAGACGGATTTGCACAGGAAGGCGGATCTAGCGTTCGGGAGGCGACTCAGAATCGCCACGAGGAGATCGTCTCCGAGTTTGCTGATTGGGCCATGACGGTCTGCTGTTGAACGGAGTGGGGTTTTTCTGGTGACGGGAGTGAGAAGATGGCCGTCGACAGCAGCGGATGTGTAACTATCCATGGCGGAGGGGGGACGACCAGGAGAGTGGGAGAACAACGGATAGCCCAAGTTGGAAAAGCCAGAAAACCCTATTTTCTCCAAGAGAGCCATAGTTTCCCCCCTAATGAGTCGAAAACTGCTCCATGTCCATGTCCATTATTATAAGATTCTGAAATTTGAATACTCCTTTTCCTTCCCGAACTCGATTTTCACTCATCTTCCTGTCAATTCCCAGTTTAGTTGCTTAAAGAACAGAGCATACAAACAAGATTTTCCCCTTCTCAGTTCTTACGAACCCATAAGATCACAACCCCATTTTGCTTCCTCTCATTGGTTCCAAGGTTGTTTTCTGACATCTGGGCAGTGAGAATTTGTTAAAAAGTTTACGCCTTTACCACAAAATCTAAGGGGAAACTTGAGCGAGAATCTCCTTCACAATGTGGAATAGGCAAGACATGTGTAGCAACCTTGGATTATAAGGTAATAGATTTACAAACTTCAATTCCTTCAGAAACCCATAAATCTAATCACTGGAATTTTGAATTCTAGGAAATTAAAACCGAAAATCACAAGCAGAAATAGGCCCTAAACAAACCCGACATTGAACAACCTATTCGAAACAACTACGCTCTGTTTAAGCCCTCAGCGCCAAGGTTCCCGGCCTGAATCGGTGAAGGCTTCTTCACTCCTCCGGTCGTCGGGGGCTGACTTGCGCGCCGCCTTGGTCACCAGCTGCTTTCTCGGTGGCATGACGATCTGCTTTTGAACGGAGTGGTGGTTTTCTGGTGACGGGAATGAGAAGATGGCCGTCGTCAGTGGCGGATGTGTAACCATCGATGGTGGTGGCGGGGGACGACGACCAGGAGAGTGGGAGAACGACGGATAGCCCAAGGTGGAAGAGCCAAAAAACCCTATTGTCCTCGAGACCCATAGTTTCCCCCCCCTAATGAGTCGAAAATCTGCTCCATGTCCCACTATTATAAGATTCTGAAATTTGAATACTCCGTTTCCTTCTCGAACTCGATCTTCACTGGTCTGTTGACTTATCCTCCGTTTCGCAAAAGATGCATACGACACCGTTTCTTCAATACGGCATCACTCCAAGCTCGGGTCGTCCTTCCAAGTCTGGTCGAAGATCGGCTCTTCTCAGATCATTCCAAATCTCAGAAACGCTCCATCCTTTTCCTTGTAAGATAGAACTTGGCAGTTACAGAGAGATTTAGGCAGAGTATAGTCTTCTGTATTGGGTCCTTTGATTTCCCTTTCTCAGTTCTTCCTTCTCAGGAATACCAAGACCTTTTTTTGTCATCTGGGTACTGACAATTTGTAAATAAAGTTTCCACCATGCCTCAAATTCGAGGCTTTAATAAGGGCAAACTTGAGAGAAAATCTACTTCACCATGTGGGACTAGGCAAGAAATGAGTAGCCAACTTGGATTAATCATAACATAATAGATTTACAACCTTCAATTCCTCCAGAAACCCTAAATCTAAACAAGGGAATTCGGAATTCCACCCAAAATCACAAACATAAATACTTTAGTAAACGGCGCTAAACAACCAGACATTAAGACATAGAAACAACCCATTGGAACAAACTAAAATCTGTTTAAGCCCTCTCGCCTCTGATCCTCCGGGCAAGCTGGATATCCTTGGGCATGATGGTGACCCTCTTGGCGTGGATCGCGCAGAGGTTAGTGTCCTCAAACAATCCGACCAAGTACGCCTCGGCGGCCTCCTGGAGAGCAGAGACGGCGCTGCTCTGGAACCTCAGATCCGTCTTGAAATCCTGGGCGATTTCCCTCACCAGCCTCTGGAACGGAAGCTTCCTGATCAGCAGCTCGGTGCTCTTCTGGTACTTGCGGATCTCCCTCAGCGCCACGGTTCCCGGCCTGAATCGGTGAGGCTTCTTCACTCCTCCGGTCGCCGGTGCCGACTTGCGCGCCGCCTTGGTCGCCAGCTGCTTCCTCGGCGCCTTCCCGCCGGTGGATTTCCTAGCTGTCTGCTTCGTGCGAGCCATCTTTTTTTGTGGGAATCGGAGATAAAAATGAGATCTGGGATTTGATGAAGCAAATTGATTTGAGATGTAGGTTTGTGAGCGGCGGATTTGTGTTATATATAGGGAGGCGGTTTTCAGGGGAGACGGAGGAGGGAAATTTTGAAAATTTTCGTGGGTTCCGCCAGAAGTGGTAGATTGAATCCAAACCGTTGATTCGGGAGATGAATGGACGGCTGGAGATTGTGATCCGCGTGGTCTCTGTTGGTTTCAAGTTTCAACCAATGGGAGTCTTTCCCTTTCGCGGTTCCAGTAATTCTATCTTGACCGTCGTTGTTTGGGTGTATGAGCGGTTGAGATTAATCTCAATAAAAGCGACACGGGCTGTCATATGTGGGCCTTGGGGTACCAGACGCGATAAGCTTTGATGGGCTTCGTTCCATTGTAGCCCAGTATGTTCTGCCTCTGTATTGGACTATCAGTTGGGTTGGCCTTTATTTTGACCTCACAAGGTCCAACCCCTTCTGACTTCTGAGTGAGCCTGGTTTAATTATAATCTCAAGAATAAGTAAATCCAAATCTCAAGGATAATCAAATCATCATAATCTAACTCAAAAAACTTAATTGTTGAGCCTTGTGTAAATTATCCAACTAGCCATGTAAATTATCCAATTATGCAACAAGGCTATAGTGAGGTTAGTTAGAGAACCCAAATTCACGGGTAGTAGTTAAGGGGTAAAAGGAACTAGAATGCTGAATTATTGCTAATCAAGACATGATTAGTTATTACCACTTGCCACTTGGGTTTTCTAGTAATCAGGTCCACAGGGTTGTAGCTCCCCGTGGGGCAACTAATTAATTACCCTAGCTATGAACCTATGATAATTAACGTGTGCATGTAATTAAGTTTATTAATTAACTACCCTAACCCTAGCTAGCCATAAATAGCTGGTTAACGTGTGCATGTAATTAAGTTGCATCACGACTATGTGCATGTTTCTTTTTTTTTTTTTTATAACGAGGAACACCCTCCACGGTCACCACATTTTGTGGTGCCGTAGTCAGGCTAAACCCCGGGACCTCCGCCGGCGGTCCGGGTGATAGCGAGATGCCTCCGGGAACACCATGGTGGCGGTGAGGATCGAACCTGGGACCTTATGGTCACCAGTCCTCCTCCCTTACCACCAGGCTATGTGCATGTTTCTATATATGATGATGGAGTGAAGAAAGCAACACAGAATCGGAATCTTGGAGAGTAAAGAACAAGAGAAAAGGGACAAAACTGAAACAATATACAAGGAGATCGGGTATGGAAAGGCAATTAGCTGCTGCCCAAATCTTTATATATATATTCATGGTTTTTCAAAATTCAAGTTCTACCCAAATCTTTAATTTTCAAATGTTTGAAGCAAGCGATGAAACGACCTCATAGTCGTTTGTGGTGGTGGTCTTTGCCTTAGCTAGTGCGGTAGGGTATATGGTTTCTTTTGCTTTTGTTGCCAAAAATTCTGTAGCATTTCCTTGTGTACAAGGAAAGGGGACTTGAAAGTCTACCGTTTGGGGGATTCTGCCTGTAATGTAAAACCATAGGGCTTGCAATTAAAGTTCTCACATTATGTGAACTCTAGTATTCAAGTAACCCTAGTAAGTATCCAATTGTAGAAACAATGTCGATCCATAGGCTTGAGGATGAATAATTAGAGCGTTTTTTTTATAGTTTAGGTAATACAAGTTTATTAATATTGGGAATTAAAACTTAAATGTGCAACAGAGGATACCTGTTTAATGAGCTTGTTTCCATAGAAAGAGTAGCGAGTTATGAGGAGCAATGGTTTAACTTTTAACTATATATGGATCTTATATTGCTTTCTTATACGCGTCCTATATACATGAACAAAAGTTAACTAACGAGCTTGAAGGTAGTGTGTGCACACATCCGTTATGCACCATACATGTTCGCAAATCAACAGTTGCCAAAAGTTGAACAACTATCTTGTTTTACTTGGTTTTGTGGCCCCTTGCCTATGATTACATCTCAAATGTTGCACTAAATGTAATTCCACCCAAGTAAAACAACCCCAATAACGACATAACCAAGAAAAAGGTGGCAAGGCCTAAATCATACACAAGAACAAACTTTCGTTAACATTCCCCACTTTTGTTGGATTGATTAGAAGTTCCAAATACCCTTTTAAGCATGATTACCACATCATCACCATAAGTTTCAGTAATAAAAAGTTGAAAGTTTGAACTAATTATTGTCTATTGATGAGATCATGGTCTGCTCTCCTTTTTGTCTTGGTGATAATTATACTATTGAGGAGCCACAAAACCAATTTCCTTGACCCCTTATTCTTCCCTGCCCTAGCTAGAAGTTTCTTGTGAATGCTAATTTACCTAATCCTTCATCCTTCCTCTTTGTTTAAGGTTATATGAAACTCTAAGCTGACTAGCTGTACAGCAAGCTTGGGGCATCAACAATGAATTTCAACGATGCAAGTAGAAGCCACCACCAATATAATTTGTTGAATGTTTAGTACACATGGTGATTAAAATTATAATTCTACTAATAATGGGTTTTTCCTTTAGAAGTGAGAGGTTCCTTAGACAATGTAAACAGAGTGAAAAGCTAGGAAATGATCAGAGAGTGATGAAATAAGAATTTAAATTCAATATGAATGGAGATTTTTTTAGAGTATAAGCTTTGGCGATCCAATTAACTCGAAGGCTGAAGTATTTTGAGAATATAGATCACCATAATAAGATATTGTTTGAGAGATAATGTTCATTACATTGAGAATTCAGACCGAAAACTTTCAAAAACCATTAAGACGAAAAATTCAATAAAGCATGTATTGATATGATTTAGACCAATGAAAAAGATAAATAACAAAGAGGAATTAAAGAATGTAATTTTCCCCTAGGTTTGATCACATAATAAAGATGAAATAACAGAGAGCCATGACTCATGTTGGCGTGGGTGTTGGGTTTATGATTAAACAAATGAAACTAGAAAAAGCTTTAG